GCCACATTTAAGAGGGTTCCCAACGGTAATTACTCAAAATGTCTAATAGCTGTAATGACGCCCTGACATATGAAGGCAAAGATTGCACCATGGGTTGTAGGAAGCAAGGTATTGAGAGAGCCCACTGGTGAAACTCTCCATACTAGCTACAATAAGCCTGCCAGGTGGTTTAATGGAACTTTTGTGCACCTTTAGTACACAGTAAAAAATAGGGATGCCTGAAAAATTCCAATACGTGAAGTAAGTTTTTTTTATCCAGCAGGGAAGAATCTAGTAAAGATTTTAGCTCTGCCTGAAAACCAGGTAGTGGATCACATGGAAGCTTAAGGTAAGTGGAATCATCAGAGAATAACCGAAAGGCTTCCGCCTTTCCTTTTGCGGACAATACCTGCTTGTATCCTGGATATATGCACTGTTATTAATCTCTGCCTATATAAAGCTTGTATTATTTTTTATACTTCTTCTGCTCCCAATTGCTTTGTTTAAATTTCAGATTAATTTACCAGAAATTGAATCCCCCCTTTTTTTTTTTATTTTACAGAGGACCTGTCCTGGGTAAAGGCAACTCTATTATCAAACCCTCTCTTCCATTTAGCAAAGGTTCTGGTTTTCTTATTGTGTTAAACCTGTAGGTAAATGTACTGTTTAGGGAAGGCCATTTCTCATAATCCCCAAAAGAGGGCTACAGTATATTTTAGCCTATTGGTATTCTGTGCTCCAATATTGCTCTCTGGTTACACCTTTTTTTTATCAAAGTGTGCCACGCTTCCTGATATATATATATATATATATATATATATATATATATATATATATATAAATCAGCTAAAATTAAAAACATCAAGTTTTTGAAAATATTGATGCTTAGAGCCAGGGAATCACCTGTGAAGATCACACTGAACATAATAAAAATATGATCTAAAAATATTTAAAATAAAAGTTTACCAAATTATTATTTTTTTTTTGTAATTTTTTTCCAAGAAACATCAAGCATAACAACTGGTTTTGATGGTACAGCTAATCTTAAGTAGAAACAGTGATTATTATTTTTTCAATCATTACTGATACATTGCTTAAACACTGTATTTTGTAAATTCTTTTATTTTTAAGACTCAAAATAGGTACATTGAACATGAGGCATAAGCACTGTATCAATAAGGCATGATAATAGACAAGATGCCACTCAGTACACTTAATGAAAAGTTTTAGTCCAGCTCTGTTGTCCCATCATTTAACCAATGAGAGTTTGTACATTATGGAAACATTTTGAATTCTGGGTCAGTTTTCTCTCATATCAGGTAAAAAGGGGGAGTGTATGAGGGGAATAGAGGAAAGGTGAGGTAGAAAAGGGTAGTGTCATGGCAGGAGGTGAAAAATTGGGGTGCACAGTACATTACAGGCGTGAATAGGGTGGATGGTGTTAAAACAGTTTCAAATGGGGTGCACAGGGGAGGGTTGGTTAGGTGGTAGAGGGGTAGGAATGTGGTAAATAAGTTGAGGGGGAAGGGGTGGTAGGTAGTAGGAGGAAGTGAGTACACCCCTCACATTTTTGTAAATATTTTATTATATCTTTTCATGTGAAAACACTGAAGAAATGACACTTTGCTACAGTGTAAAGTAGTGAGTATACAGCTTGTAAAAGAGTGTAAATTTGCTGTCCCCTCAAAATAACTCAACACACAGCCATTAATGTCTAAACCGCTGGCACCAAAAAATGAGTACATTCCTAAGTGAAAATGTCCAAATTGGGCCCAAAGTGTCAATATTTTGTGTGCCCACCATTATTTTGCAGCATTGCCTTAACCCTCTTGGGCATGGAGTTGGCACAAACTGGCGGCCCTCCAGCTGTTGCGAAACTACAAGTCCCATCATGCCTCTACATTTGGAAGTCATGCTTGTAACTGTCGCTCTCACAATGCCTCATGGGACTTTTAGTTTGGTAACAGCTGGAGGGCCGCCAGTTTGACACCTGTAGGTTAGAGGATAGTTTAACCTGAGAGAAAGGAGAGAAGAATAAGGCCTGCAACGCTTTAAAAAAAGGATCCTTAAATATATATCTTGACAGGGTGGAAATTATTTAAGGCTAACCTGGCCTATCAAATGCTTTTTGGCCATCTAAACTGAGCAATAAAGAGGGGGATGTAAATCTATTAAGCACCTCTATTGTTTTTTTGGTATTGTCATCCGCTTGCTTGGCGGGTACAAAACCTACTTGGTCTCTGTAGATACATTTTGGAAATAGTTGAGATGGTCTGTTAGCTAAGATTTTTGTAAAGATTTTATAGTCAGAGTTGAGCAGGGCTATTGGTCAATAGTTGGCTGGACAGGCTTCTTAATTACAGATATGTAAGAGTGCATAAAATGAGAATGAGGGACTTCCCATTTAAATAGAAACATTGTACAGCGTAATCAGGTGCAGAGCCAAGGTAGGCAGGAAAGGTTTGTATTAGGAATACGAGAGATCGGCCAGGGGTTTTATGTGTAGGTAGATGTTTAACAACCTGTGAGAGTTCTGCAGTTAAATCTGCATTTAAGAGGTCCAATTCAGATGGGGACAGCTTAGGTTGCTTGTTTGATTTAAAAAAACTCATTAAAGTCCCTTTGTTTAAACAGGGGGTGCTTATCTGGACTAATGATAAAGTCTTTGATAAAATTCCCTGAAAGTCTTGGCCATAGCTTGAGGGCAAAAGATGGTGGTATGCTTTTCCACAAGGTGGAAGATTGCTGTACAGAACTCACGTTAAACTGGACGAACTCTGTCAGGTCCTAGCGTAGCTTCTGTCAAATATTGTCAACTTGTATAACCTGTTCATTCAGGTACCAGTGGCAAGTTTTAGAGAAGGAGCTGGTGATCACTAGGCCTAGAAAAATTGAGGCATAGTCAGACCATGTAATTGGGTTTATTTCAGCTCCAGCTGAATCAATAAGGCTGAAATAAAAAAGTGGTTTAATCTATAGCACATTTTGTGGGGATTGGAGTAGAAGGTAAATTGTTTATGCAGGGGATGCTTAAAGGATAAATTCACCTTCCATAACATGCTATATTCAGGGTGTAACATGTAACAAATTATGAACGGATTGGCCCCCACACCCCCTGATCCCCCATTGTGACAGCCTGACCATGTCATTCACTCACAGAATTCTGTGAATGAGAACACTTAACGTTCCGATAGCCTTTGCAGAACAAAATTCTGCAGTAGGCCTTGGTGTGGCTTCATATACTGTATAGTATATTTATAAATGTATGCAATAAAACCTCTGTCTACAAGCCTAATGTTAGAGCATGAAATTGTCAAAAATAACTTGGTATGCTGATGCCTTAAAAGTTCCCTTTACGGGAACTAAGGAGCCAAGCCCAACCCCTGAAAAGCAAACCCACACCATAATCCCCCTCCACCAAACTTTACACTTGGCACAATGCAGTCAGGCCAGTACCATTCTCCTGGCAACAGCCAAACCCAACATGTCCATCAGACTGCCAGACAGAGATGCATGAGTTGTCAGTTCAGAGAACACGTCTTCACTGCTCTAGAGTCCAGTGGTGCCATGCTTTACACCACTGCATCCAATGCTTCACATTGTACTTGGTGATGTAAGGCTTGGTGCAGCTGCTTGGCCATGGAAACCCATTCCATGAAGCTCTCTATGCACTGTTGCGCTAATCCTAAGGCCACATGAAGTTTGTGGGTCTTTAGCTATTGACTCTGCAGAAAGTTGGTGATTTCTGCGCACTGTGTGCTTAGGCATGCGCCTGACCCCGCTCTGTCATTTTACATGGCCTACGAGTTTACGAGTTGCTGTTGTTTCCAGTCGCTTCTACTTTGTTACAATACCACTAACAGTTGACCGTGGAATATTTTGTAGCAAATAAATTTCACGGATGGACTTATTGCACAGGTGGCAACCTATCACGGTACCACACTTAAATTCACTGAGCTCCTGAGAGTGACCCATTCTTTCACAAATGTTTGTAGAAGCAGTCTGCATGCCTAGGTGCTTGCTTCTATACACCTGTGGCCCTGGAGGTGATTGCAACACCTGAATCCAATGATTTGGAGGGGTGTCCTAATACTTTTGGCAATATAGTGTGTATATACAGTAATATATATATTATATACTGTATATATATATATATATATATATATATATATATATTTATACAGTATATAGTGGGATACTACTCAAAAGATAAAGAACAGAATTGTAATCCAACAGACAATGACATGGTAATCTATCAGTACCTGGGCATTATGGAGAAAAGGGACAGTGGTTTTGAACTCTGATTTATTGTAGCTGATGATGTACTGAGTACTGAGATGATGTAGCTAAGTTGGAAGAAGATAGAATCCTCACCCAGCAAATAGAGATGTGTGGTGAATTAATAGATTAATATTGTACCATGAGTGGTTAAATAAGTATTTAACAGCTTTTTTTGAGCCACAAAAAAACTGTCTAATGCATGGTCTATTACAGACTACCACTAGCATTTTTTCTCAGAAACTGTCTTCCACGAGATGAATGTAACATACCCGTAAAGTGATATTAACCTAAAAACGCTTTTCACCTAATGCATTGCTTGCTGTGCACGGCTGAATCTCTTCTCCCCTCATTTCCTCATCACACAGGGACTCGACCAGCAGCAGGAGTCATTGGCTCTTGCTGCTGTCAATCAATGGCAGTGAAGAGGAAAGTGGGAGGGGTGTGGCTAAGTCCCACTGTGTGTGTGTCTATGGAGTGCGGCACCATAGGCACACAAGTCAGGAGCAATCATGCAGTGTTTGTCCACATAGAAAACGGCTTGCTATGGGGGTCACACAAAGAAGAGGAGGAGCCAGGATCACCGGCGGGAGACCTGAGAAGAAGAGGATCAGGGCCACTCTGTGCAATACCATTGCACAGAGCAGGTGAATATATCATGTTTGTTATTTTAGTTTAACCACTTCCCATCCAGCATGTACATAAAACAGCCGGAAGGGAGCAGCGCCGAAGTGGGTCGCCGTTTATAAATGGCCCCCACATTCACTGCCTGTGCGTGCTCCCTGGGAGTGCATGGCATTGCGATCCGGTGTGATCGCTGTGCGGGACCTCTGTGTGAGGTCCCAATTCATGTGATCCCTGATTGGCCAATCAGTGATCACATGAATAGTAGTAAACAAGATGTCACTTCCTGACATCATTGCTTACTACTTGTGAAATCTGTGAATGGTCACAGAGGTCACAAGGTACAAGGCTATTCACAACAGTCTTGTACCATGTGACAAGCTGTGACCAATCACAGCTCTCACAGTATTTCTCAATGGCTGCAAGAATGCAGCCAAAGAGAAGGAGAAATTATTGCTTTTACAGCCTTTTACGGGTGTAAAAGCAATCAGTGTAAAAAATGAAAAAAAAATCTTCATCGCCCCCCACAAGTAGTACAGTGTCAATATGTGACACTGTACTGCTAGGGTGAAGGTATGTTAAAAAAACATAAATAATAATATAAAAAAAAATGTAAAAAACACATTTTTGAAAAATTAGAATTTTTGGTTATAAACTAATTTGGGTTAATTTTATTTTACTAAAAAGATAGATGAATACATTTTGGCCAAGATTTATGAAGAAAGATTATTTGTTTGCAAAATTTTATAAGAAAAACACTTTTTTTCAAAATGTTTGGATTTTTTTCATTTATATAGCAAAAAAAATAAAAATCCCAGTGGTGAATAAATACCACCAAAATAAAGTTTTATCTGTCTCAAAAAAAATGCTAAAAAATAATATGGGTACAGTGTTGCATGACCACGCAATTGTCACTCAAAGTGTGATAGCACTGAAAGCTGAAAATTGGCCTGGACAGGAAGGGGGTGAAGTGGTTAAAAAAAAGTCTGCCTTTAGTCACACTTTAACATTCAATCCTAAGAGAAAAAAAGTAAAAATGTCTTAACCATTAGCCGCCCGGCCAATGGCCGTTTGGCGGCTTCAAAAGTGTCTTTGCACTCGGGTGCACGCCATTTGGCGTGCTCCCGCACATGCGCAGTTTGCGCTAATGCAGAGCGGCGCAGCAGTGCGATCTGTCACCAGCCGTGCACCTCGGACACGGCCGATGACAGATCCGAGTACCGGCTCCCGTTGCTGGTGCCATGTGACCTGCTGTGACCAATCACAGCAGGTCACATGACAGTTGTATACAATGGATGGCTTCATTCATGATGCCATCCATTGTATACTAGTGCCTAGCTGTGAATGGTCACAGCTAATCACATGCACATGTCATGTGATTAGCTGTGACCAAATCACAGCTAAGCACAAAAAAAAAAAAAAAAAAAGCTGAATGAATCGATTTCATTCAGGTAAATGCTTGCTTATAGCAAAGTAATTCTTTGCTATAAGCAAATTGTGTAAAAAAAAAAAAAAAAATACTGATCACTTCCCCAAACTAGTACAATGTTACTATGGTAACATTGTACTACTTTGGTCATAGTAAAATATGAAAAACAAAATCTTAAAAATTTTTAAAAAAAATGTAATAAAAAATGAAATATAATAAAAAAAAAAAAAAAATATATATATATATATTTTTTTCATACTGTCACCAGTCAGTGTCCCTGTTCACCGCCATGTCAGTTATACGATGACGCTGTACTGCACTGGTGACAGTACGTAAAAAAAAAAATAGTGAAAATAATTTTTTTAATTTTTTAATTTTCTGAAAAATTATGACAAAAAAATACAACTTCAAAAAACTCGCCATGCCTCTTATGAAGTACGTCGGACTGTCTACTCTGCAAAAAGGGGTCATTGGGGATATCTGTACTATTCTGACATTCTTGGACGTCAAGATTGGCTGTCAGTACTTCAGGATTGATCAATATTCAGATCTATACCATAGTTTGTGAACGCTATAACTTTCCTACAAACTAAAAAATACATCCTAATTTGGGTTATTTTCACCAAAGACATGTAGCAGAATACATCTCGGCTAAATTTATGAAGAACAATTATTTATTTGTAAACTTTTATAACAGAAACAAAGAAAAATGTGGGTTTTTTTTCAAAATTTTTGGTCTTTTTTTGTTAATTTAGCAAAAAATAAAACCCCAGCGGTGATTAAATACCACCAAAAGAAAGCTCTAGTTTGTGTGAAGAAAATGATAAAATTTTAGTTTGGGTACAGTGTTGTATGACCGCGCAAATTGTCATTCAAAGTGTGAGAGCGCTGAAACCTGAAAAATGGCCTGGGCAGGAAGGTGTAAAATTGCACGGTATTGAAATGGTTAATATTACTCAAAAGCAAAGTGTGGGTTTGCATAAACATATAAGTATTCTGTGGGCACCATACCTCTATATAAACCAACATCAAAGCCCTTTTCCCCAGTATACATCAGGTGAAGGGATATAACATGGGATTAAGAACCATGGGCCAGAAGAATTAAAGCTGAATTCCAGGAAAACTAAAAGTCCAACATTGCAGTGAAGCTACAGGGGTAAACTGCTTGTTTATTTCTAGGGGATCAAGTAAGGATCCTGCAGGCTCTTCTACATTCCTAGACTGTCCAGACAGCCTCTTCTACCTTCACACTAGCAGCCTAAGATTCTCTAACACAGGGACCACAACCCTGCATTGGAATTGAGGACAACAAAGGACATTCCTCTGCAAGAGTAGAGGGTAGCACTGTTTGCCAGGGGAGCAGAGAATTAGGTAAGTAAATTGCTCTCTTACTGCCTTACTGCACTTTTAGTTTTCCCGCAGTTCATAACATTTGACTAATAGAGAAAATAGCCTAACATTATAGGCTTTAAACATTTCACCAAAAGAAGAAATAATATCTAGAAATCTAGAAATAATATGAGGGAGACCTCTGCACTGTGTACAAAATGTATGGAGATTTCTGCGCTCACCAGCAACAGTATAGTGAATCCGCTACAACACAGAATGAATTGCTATACAGGATTAATACAATGTTGCAGAGACAGAACTCTGTTGTTTACCTTGGGTCAAAGGTAGGAAACCTTGACCACAAATCTCATCATGCCTTTGCCTGTAGGAGTCATAACTGTAATTGCCAGAGTCTTGCAGTGCCTCATTTAATTTGTAGTTCCAGAACAGCTGCCAAGATTTCCTACCCCTGCCTTAGAGTGAGCTGTTGCTAATCTATAAAGGGTTTCAGTCCAGTAAACTTTTCAAACAATGGAGTTCCATCACTGCAATATTGTATTAATTCTGTATAGCAGTTTACTCTCTGCAGTAGCTGATAATTACACCGTTACGGTAGTGAACATATGGATTTCCATACAATGTGGTGTGCACAGTGCAGAGGTCTATCTCAAATTATTTCCTTTTTTAGTCAAATGTTATTAACCCATAATGTTGGGCTATTTTCTCTATTGGTCAAATGTTCTTTATCTCTTCTTGATCTAATGTTCTTATGGCTTTTATCTCTTAAGATCGAATATTAGATCCATTATAATGTTAGATACAGTGTGAAATTCATCAAACAGAAACCTGCATTTCACATATTACAAACATTACAGGTATTTTTTGTGACTTTTACGTGAATGCTGATACATTCGCAAATAAGATTTTTAATACGTAGACTCCTCACTGTTTATTAGTATTTGTGTACCGCAAAAATGTTTGTTTAATGCTATTACACCAGCAGCATAGTCTATTACAGAATACCACTAGATTTTTTTCTCACAGTAAAGAACATCAAATGTCTTACAGTTTTGCTGGAAGGTACAATGTGTCCACACTGGTTACTTTTATCACAGTAAAAAAAAGTCAAATGTCATCTGTCAGCTTTGCTGGGAAGTACCAAAAAAAGGCAGCTTGCCATTGTCATCTTCTGGCAACATGGCAAATGCTCAGCATGCCTCTGGCTTTTTTGTAAAGTAAAAAAAAAAAGTCAAGAATTTCACAAAAGAGTCAGGTTTGACGATCAGTACAAAAATCAGGCTTTGTTCTCTTTAGACAATTAAGTCAATGCAATGGCATACTGACCTAATAAAACGTAAAGTCACTTGTATCGCTTCTTTTATTTTTTAAAGTTGAATTCCAGGAATAAAGCCTGGATGTCCTGGATTATTAGGAGATCAAGGTGCATGCCACCTCATAGACTTTTCACTTTAATTTACATTTTATTGGGCATAGTTAGTAATCCCTATATGTCTGGCGCTCCAGCGCTGGACCTTCTGTGCCTGCCCCTCCGCTCCCCCCTGCCCAATCACAGAGCATTTTGCACTATTGTGGACCCATTCACAGAATACACTGCTCTCTGGGAATGAACAGCAGAAGGAATATGTGTACAGAACTGCTGTGTGAGAAGACAGCATCTCTTCTCTCAGAGTGTTAGGAGTGTGTTGATAACTCCATAAAAATGCCAATTGCAAATACAAGAGATAAGTTTATATTGTAAGCTCCACGAGCAGGGCCCTCCTATTCCTTCTGTACTGAAATGTATTGTAATTGTACTGTCTCCCTAATATTGTAAAGTGCTGAGCAAACTGTTGATGCTATATAAATCCTGTATAATAATAAGTCCATGAGGTGGCATGCACCTAGTTAGACATCTGATAGTAAGCCAGCAGATTTTACAAAGTGGCTGAATTCCTGGAGTTCATCTTTAAACATGCTAAATAGGCATGGGGGCATTTAAAGACATCTGCTGTATATTTAGAGTTAGTATCTCCATTGTTTAGCCTAAAGTAAGTTTGATGACTTTTCCATTTTTATATTTGCTTTTTTTATTGCATTAAAAATAGAAATTTGTAGCCTCAAGTATTGGAGTAGGATAGTCACTGTAATAATTCTTCCTCTCTATTTACCAACTGTTGAGATTAGAAATCAGCTACTCAGGAAGTACAATGAACCAGGTGTATTATAGATGTCTGTTTGTGTGAGGAGATGTAAAGCCCAACCACTATGTAGTACAGGAAGTCTGCACACATAGAGGTGGGGGAGAACACTCTATCAACATGTAATGAGGCATTTTTATGGACTCTTGTCCCTCTGCTGGGATTCTGATATTGATGGCAGCTACTATTTGAGATTCAGCTGGTCCATGGGACATCCTATTACATACCAAATAGATTGGCATCTGACCATCTAATGTGGGCATACATTTTTATATAGGCGTCTATGTATGGATGTTTGAGCACTTTGAAATACAAAAATGTATGGATTAAAGGAAATTCTAACACATTTTGTGATTTGGAGATATCGGGTAGTCTGATATACCAGCGTTGGTCTATACATTTCGAGAGATACAGGAAGCTGCCTAGAGATATTATGATGCTCATTTAAGATTCATACCCATTGTCAATATCCTCCTGAAGAATTAACCATTGCTCATGAAACGTATTTAGAGAAAATCCAGGGTCTACTGGACATTTTGTAAAAGAAATCCTAGATTACATATAATATCAAGTCAGACCCAAAAAAAGTAACTGTTGTGAATAATTCAGGGTATATAGACAGAACCAGAGTTTTTGGTTTTAGCATATAATTGTTTATTATGACGTAAATAAAGCTGTAAACTTTTAAATTATTGTTTTCTTTTGTATCAAATATAGTCTAAATGTACCTCAAATGTCCCATTCAAGTGATAAGGTTGTGTGATTGAGGGCTGTCCATACATTATACAATTTTCTTGTGCAATTTCTGTACAATCTTCTATATATTTCCTTTCAACTATATAGTGCAAGGGCCTGAATGATTGGATACAAAATGAAAGTGTTGTTTAGGTTAGACCTCCTATTATATGGTTTTTGGTAAGTCTAAAGGAAAAATTGTACAATAACATTGTCTTTTGTAAATGCTGGATAGCTCATTATGCCATTTATCATTCACTCAGCAAGATATTATATCAAGCAGATCTCTTGTACATATATATGTATCTCTTATACATAAAGGACAAATCCCCCAAAAATCTTCAGATATATTAACCTCCCTAGCGGTATGATTATGTCAATATTTCTGTGCTCAAAGTGGTACATTTTTTGCATAGAAATATGTTGTTTTTTTATTGTAGACCTGTAATTTTTAGGAATAACTCACTGAAATATGTCCAAACAAGAGTCTAGTAAATATTTTGGGTATGATAAAATTTGAAACACGAAATCATAAATTATAATATAACAAATAATCATAAAAAATTATAATATAATAATAATAATAAAAAAATGTATTCAATAATGTAATCAAACCAAAAACACTGAAATTTGAAATAAAGCGCCAAGTTCACACATCACTGAGCTTAGTCGCAAAATCGTTTTCAGTGTCTGATGACGAATTTCCCCACGAG